CAAGAATAACTTGATCATCGGCGTACAAAAGGCATTTGACGGTTAACTCACCCATTCTTAATCCGCATTCTTCAACTTTCAAATTTTGCAAACAACTGTCCATAAATAGGTTGAACAGCCACGGGGAAGCCACACAGCCCTGCCTGACACCTTTATGGATGTCAAACCACTCCGAGTAGACCCCGTTGATTCTAACACAAGCACTCGAGTCCCTATACAGAGACTTTAATGCCTGTATTAAACCAGCGCTCAACCTAAACACGTTCAGCGTTTGCCATAACATATCCCTGTCCACTCTGTCATAAGCCTTTTCCAAGTCCATGAACGCACAAAAAACTTTTTGGTTTTTCGCCAAAAACTTCTCTGCGATCATGCGCATGGAAAAGACTTGATCTGTACACCCCATTCCCTTTCTAAATCCCGCTTGCACATCCCAAATTTTTTCATCACCCTTCATTTCACATATAATTTCTATAAAATTATCAAAAAGTGTACCATTAATTTTATAAAAGTACTCCCACAAGGCGAGTTATGTCCACTACACGGACAATGTTCGCCATAATATTTTTAAGGGTTAAGTGATAAAGGAGACAATTGTTTTTGGGTCCACTAGAAATTTAAACGTAACTTAATTTTATTACACATAAAAAAGATACCAATTTATTATAGTAAACGGCCTGAATATTTTATGAAAATCTAACCGAATCATTAATTCTGAAAAAAAAAAGTTGTTTTGATATTCGTGTTCTGGCTAGTGTAACATGAAAAAAATGCGCGTAACGAAGAACGAACTACTAAAAGGATTTTCCATCAATTTTAAAGTACCTCTAAATGTTGAATGTATCTACAACTTTGTTTTATACTATTATTTATTGACCAGTGCACTATTTTAACTTATAATACCGGTGGTAACTGCTAGACAGCTAGTTTGTTTTTAGATTACTGTGATATTCATATTATAATTGTAAATTTCTTAGTATTCCGTTAGGTACCGTAAAACTTATATTACTTTTGTAATCTATATATAATAGGAAATAAATTGACATGTATTTCATTAAGTTTCGCTACAATTAGTGGTGGGCTCATTCTCCACACAAAAATAAATTGTCTCATTTGAACTTTTAAAATAAAGCATAGTTTTGGTCATATACATAAGAAATGGCAATGTGTATACAAAATGAAATGTATTCTGGCAGACTGCAAATGTTAACATAGTTTTATATCGTAACCACTAACACCAAAATTCAACACGTCACGTCTATGACATTTCACATCACAAACAGATTTCAGTATCAATGCACATAAGGTCACGAGCACAAAGCCGATAATTTATTTAAAATGAGCGCGCGGCGATCTGCAGCTACGCGATGTTTGTCACTGCTTTTGCACGAAAGTTTATAATTTGTCTTTTAATTATCAGTTCTGTCTCAAAGAATAATGTATACATAATACAGAAAATTATACCTAAACATCCATGTCTCTGAGAGATAAACTTTCTGTGAATTTTAGAATTAAGTTTATTTTATCTTAAGAGTTTAGTTTGATGGTTAAATTTTCTATTTTTAAGAGTTTTTATATTGTTAGGGGTACTAGTCTTATTTTTAATAAAACCGAAGTGACGTAAGAGCTTAGAGTCCATCTGATGGTAAAAGGATACTTGAACCTATGGACACATGTAACTAAGTTCAAATAAAGAGTGTACAGATAACTTGTCTTCTGTATGGACTAAGGTGGAATGCCGCACAACCTGTAATATTTACGGTCTCCCTACACTCTTTAAACTTAGATTCAACACAATTTATTAAATCTGTGTGTATTGCTCAATCAATCTTTTAATTTGTGTTTGACAGACATGTGCGCATACTTTAACGTTTTCAAATTTATATAATGGAACTCTCCATATTAAATGTGAAGTCAATTTATATCATCAGTAGAGCAACTAGAGGAATTATGTATGTAATAAGTATACACAACACTAGATAATTAAAAGCTAGATAATTTTTAACCGAGATCAAAACCGATAAATTTCTATATTAGACGCATAGTGTTTTCTTAAAATATGTTCACCGATTTTATGCAAACGGCTGTCGGTTTAATTGACATATAAATTCAAAGAAAAACTCTGTGTGGAAATATAGGTTGATCAATCTTTAATGTGCCTATTTAAACGACTTCTACTTGTTGCCACCTTGTACTTGGGTTTTCCTTAGACCACTCGAAAGGGCGAAAGGAAACTTAATAAAAAAAACATAATAAATAGTTTCCACATAATACTTTCCAAAACGGTTTATTCAATTTAGTATCATTTCAAAGCTCATATGAACGTCAATATTAACACCGGTTCGCAAAATCAAGACCTTAAAGAAGGAATCTGGAATAGGTATTTCTTGTTTGTTAAGCCAAGTTACAATTTTATTTACAATTACGACTTATAATAAAATATCAAAGTTCAATTAATATTTTTTAAATGTCAGTACGACTATGTTTTACCACGACTTCACAAGTTATTATGTGGAAATTATAATTTTTTTAGCTTATGAAGTCGTCTTCATTTTTTTATTGCGTTAATATACAAAAACGAGCAATAAGAATAATGTCTCGCATTCACCAGAGGCAATAATGTAAAGAATATTTTATAAATTTGAAAATCCTTACTGTGCCTTGTTTGTATATTCTAACTTTACACACTGATTTTGTCAAAATTACAGGCTGTAGAGCATAGCGTTAGAAATCAAGCTATAAAACTATTTAATAGACTAACTACTATTTAATGCCCTAAAAATCATAAATAATTTTTGCAAATATATAAGATTGAAATCTTATTTATTTAAAAAAAGTTTCTATACATACAAGTTGAATGATTACATTTAATTAGGTAGAGCATTATTACGTGCATAATTTAATTTTTAATAAATTTCGAATAATGAAAAAAGTCGAATAATGTTAATTTTATTTTATTTTATAGGTATTTTATGTTTTATTTAAGTTTTTCCACACAAAATGTATATTGTATTTGAAATAAATGACTATGACTATATGTCTGAGTTAAATTATTACATATTATATTAAGCATCTCCTCGAGCGTAACATTACTTCAGTGTATGATCTATGTGATATACGTAACGCTCACGTCTTTACGTTATTGGTCGATTGATAGCAACGAACATTCAGCGTGAACTATCAGAAAGATGGCGACTCAGTAGAGTATATTGAAAATAGGTTATTATGTCTAGGAGAGATTATTTTAATAACCTTATATTAAGTGGGGGAAGCTTCACTATGAACACACTTTCTTGAAGATCTTTATATCTTAAGTTATGAAATTGTTACTTAACTATTCAATCTTAACTAATTAATTAGGAAATGATGACAGGTCGTAATATAAACGAACTGTAAAAATAAATGGTTTTTGATATTTATCTCATAAACTATAAAAGATATTAAAAAACTACGAAGAAAACGCCATATCTTCAATCTCTTAACGTTTTGATTCAAAAGCTCTTTTTATATAAAAGAGGGGGCAAACGAGCATGCGGCTCACCTCATAATAAGTGAACACCGTCGCTCATGAACAACTGCAACAAAAGAGAAATTGCAGGTGCGTTGCCGGCCTTTTAGAAAGGAGTAAGCTCTTTTCTTGAAGGTCTCTAAGTCGTATCGGTCCGGAAAAATCGCCGGTGGTAAAAGATTCCACAGAGAGGTTGTATGAGGAAGAAAACTCCTAGTAAACCGTACGGTGGTGGACCGCCATGCATCCAGATGGCGTGGATAGTATCGTGAGTTTTGTCGCGATGTGCGTTTGTGAAATTTGGAGGCTGGAATAAATCCAAACAATTCCTCAGAGCACTCCCCGTAGTAGATGTCATAGAAAATACTAAGAAATGCAACATTTTTTCACAGCGCCAGAGCATCGAGCCGATCGGAGGGGACTTGATCGTCGACGATTCGAACCGCTCTGCGCTGGATGCGGTCAATTAGAAGAAGCTGGCACTGGGGAGCCCCAGCCTCGAGATGGGAACAGTTTTCTATGTGTGGCCGAACCTGCGCCTTGTAAAGTTGCAGGCGGTGTGCCGATATGAAATACTGTCCCGCTTTGCTGAGCATGCCAAGCTTTTTAGAGTCCATTTTGGCCTTCTCTTCCAAGTGACCACGAAACTGCACGTCACTCGATATTTCGCCGCCGAGGATTCCGATACACGCTGAGGCAACAAGGAGATACGGTTCTTTAAAAAAAAATTTAAAGGATATGGTATGATGATATGATAAGACTTTTTTACGTGAATTTAAATAGACCTTCTTTCTAAACATTCTAAAAGTTTTCACACTTTTGTGGTAGGTTTTGTACGCGGTCGAATTTGTGGATAAAAGCTAGTAGAAAGCAAAATAATCAAACGTTTTTTATATGCAATATCAGAATAAAAGTAAAAAAAAGTGTGACGAGAATATGTATTACACATTTTATATATATCGCAATATTTGTTTTAAATACGTTTTTGTACATGAAAAAATTAAAACTGCATATCTTTTTGCCAATAACTAATAACAGTATAGTAATATGAAAGAGATTGTTCTTTTTACGATAGAAGCGATTCATTATGAGCTCACTTCACTTATCAGGTGAGCCGCATGCTCGTTTGCCGACTATTCCATAAAAGAAATCTTATGAGCAACCGGTCAATAACTGCAGTTCAAAAGGAAGAACAATGATCGGCGAGAGAAAGACCTACAGACTTCGTAAGCTAGGCCATATCGGGAGAATGGTAGAGGATCAGATAGTAGAACGAGCTTATTTGAGAGTATCGTAAGGTCAACGGCCAGTCGGCCGTCCCAGGTACCGTACCGCTGGAAAAATGAAGTTGGCGTATAGATACAAGTGACGGCATTTTTGACGGTGACCAAGATTCATTTGAGTCACTGCGTCACGTTAGAAGTGGCTTTGTTTTATCATCTAAGCATTTAACAAAGAGCTATGTTGCATATAAGTAAAGATAAGTACGTACCCATAACTTTCTTTGGTGGCATCTTCCTCGGCTCCTTTTCGTCGCTCTCCTCCCGCCGCATGGTCTTCCCGTCGGCTTCGCCCTGGTGCCACTTCCTCTTCCGACCCTCCCTCTCTTCCAAATACATCCCTAGTTCTTCCTCTCTCCCCACAAGAGTGAGCCTCACTGACGACTCCCACGTGAAAGGGTCTTCCTTGCGACCGTCATGCATAATAAGCTCCGTATAGTCTCTGTCTTGTTCATACAATTCCATTACACCCGGGCCATATCGCCCGCACTACACTAAAAGTCACTGAATGAATGATGAATGATGAATGAATGATATTTTTTCGGAACGCGGTGATTAGGTTAAAAGAGTACGAAGAACGAGTTGTACAGCTTTTTGATGCCTGTCGTCTCTCTTTGACGGTGACTTTGCAGCAGTTCGTTCTCGATTTTCAAGAGCATGTTTGTGTTAGAGCGACAGAGGTGGTATTGTATGTGCGGGACAAGGCCCGGGAACAATTTCTTCGTGAAGCGATTGCCGATCAAATACGTTCGCTGACAGTTAGGAATGGTCTCCATGGGTTACACTTGAAGAGAATTGCAGTCGAGTTGGTATCCTTTACTCGATATAGTTATGCCTCGTTGGCGCGATTAGCTTAGTGGTGTTACGGCTCCTGCAAACAAATAAAAAGCAGGTGAAAAAAAAAACAACACATTTTTCAGAAACTTGCTAGGTGATAGGACTTCTTTTTAACCTAGAACCTGCGGGTAGAAACTAGAGATGGGCCTAATATAAGTTTTACCGAGTAACCAAGTACCGAGTATTACTCGGTTAATGTTAGCCAAACCGAGATATCGAACAAATAGCTCGGTTCAGTATAAATGTAGCTTTCAGGCAGTAAAACTGCGCCCCAAGAGGGTCCTTTAAGATATTAAAAAAGCTGTGGGGGGAAAAACAAAACAACGACGCGGACCCCGGAGTAAACAACTTAAACTTTTATTATTTTGAGTATTTTATCAGGCATATGCTGTTGCACATCTACTGTTTCAGTTTCCCTTTTTGGCCTCTTACGACACCTACGAAATGGTATTTTTTATAGGATAAGGGTGACAAACGAGCACACATTCCACCTGATGGTAAGTGAATGCCCATAGACATCTAAATTGATCCTCGATTAAAAATTAAAGCTCAGATGCGTTGTCACCCCTGAGGCATAAGATGCAATGCCTCGTTTCCAGTAAAAAAGGGTCTCCGGCTGGCTATGCTACGCTGGTATTCTGTTCGAGTGTGGTCCTCTCCCGATAGAGCTGACCCATTTGTGCTACAACCATACTATATCTGCAGCGTGGCTCTACCACGTATTACGGGGTAGTGGATATACTTCTTACACCGCCACTACACGGTTTCTTGTGCCATGTCAACAATCGTAAACATACATTTTTAATTTATCATTTAACATCCGTTCAAAGTCCACATGTTACTACTATAACATAAATCCGATAATAACTATATTAGTAAAGAAATATGTCGGATTCGGCTAAGTAACTTCATTTTGTAACTAGGTCTAGGTGTATTGCCAACTTGCAATTTCTTTGTTCTTCTAAACTATTACTAAGCATAGTAAGCATAATCCAATTATTATACCCGTATTCATCGATATACACTGCCGGCCAAAAGTTTAAGACCACCTTAATTAAAGTAGGAAAATTAAATAAAACTTCAATAATATATTAAATGTTTCATTAAACTGTTAAATCATCTAATAAAACACTTTTTGACAATCAAACTTTAAAAGCGATATTAGCAGTCCATGCTAAAAAAGGCTATAGTTAGTTAAACTGATTTTTCATCAAAATAATATCCTTTGCATTCTGTGACTTTTTTCACAAGTCTCGGCATACGTGCAATCAATTTGTTGATATTGTCTTGTGATATATTGCTCCAAATTTCGCACAAAGCATTCCACATTTCTTCTCACCATTATTACGGACGTTCCTATCAAGCTCTTCCCACAAAAGATCAATGGGATTGACATCCGGGCTCTGAGGAGGCCCAACCATGATTTTTAACACCCCTTGTGGCTCTTTCTCTTTCAAATATCCTCTGCATAATTTTGAGCTACGCTTAGGATCATTGTCCTGTAGGAAAATGAATACATCTCCAATTAATCGCAATCCCGAAGGAACTGCATTTTGTTCTAAAACTTTTTTGTACTCTTCTTTTTTAATAATTCCGTCAATTTTGATCAAATCGCCAGTTCCTTGACTAAAAAAGCAACCTCAGATCACAATTGTGCCACCACCATGCTTGATTGTTGGGACTACATAGTCTGGCATCATCTTTTCTTAGTCACTACGTCGAACATAAATTCTTCGTTTTGAACCGAATAGCTCAAACTTGGATTCATCGGTCCAAAGAACTTTTTTTTAAATTTTCTTCGGTTCAATCTCTATGGGCAAGGGCCTACTGCATCCGTTTTTTCTTGTTTTGTGGCCTTAGGAGAGGTTTTCGAACGGCGACACGACCATACAATTTCGCATGTCTCAGTCGCCTTTTTCTTACTGGTAACAAAAATGAAATGATCTTCACTTGGCGGGATAGCTCTCGGCCTGCCCGAGCGTGGACAATCTTCAAAAGTGCCTGTCTCCCTGTATCGAGTTATTGTGTCATGAACACAAGTCTTCGATAACTTCAATCGTAAATAAATTTCACGTTCGGATTGGCCTTTATTATGTAAAACAACGGTGGCAGGAAGCACTTCACTGCTAATTTCGCGTGCTTTTCCCATTTTAAGACGTCTTTACTGTAGAAACCACAAATTTAGACTAATTGAGAATGTTTGTGAACAAAAGCATGTAAACTCGGGAATAATAAGTCGGAAACACGTGTTTTTAGAAGCTAAATAATCCTAATTATTGACCAATGGGAAACAAAAGCAAAGCAATTAGTTATTAGCCCACATCGATCACTAATAAAATAGTGATCGATGTTAGCCCATCATAAAAATATTATTACGACTCTATCACCCGGCTCTAACGCAGCGTTTGTCGGTGTTTAAAACAATACATGTTTATTGTCCAATAACTTGAAAGTGAATAAAAGAATGACTTCTTTAGATATTCGATATTAACAATAGAATATGACAATGTAATAGAAAATATAATAATAACCCTTTTTAGACAACAAATTCATTAAATTCTTCTTCTACTATCGCCGAATCATTGCTTAAACAAAATATAAAGGCTTGTTCAAATATTTTTAAATTCCATAGAGTATTGCCAAAAGATATCATTAAATAGTTTAAAACAATTGATGTTAAGATAACGGCAGACTTATGGGGGATTTTCATTAAAGTTATTGCATCCGTAATAGATACAATAACACCTTATCTAGCCACTATTTTTAATACAAGCGTCGAATCTGGTGTGTTTCCTGATTTATTGAAACACAGTAAAGTTATAATTTTATTAAAATCTGGTCATCATCAGACCCCGTTAATTTTAGACCAATTTCTGTACTACCAACTTTAAGTAAAATTTTTCAAAAAATTATTTTACGTCAGATGATAAGTTTTTTTTAATAAAAATAAATTGCTGCGTACTAGTCAATTTGGTTTTACAAGGGGTCGCTCGACAACCGAAGCGGGAGTTACGCTTATAAAACATATTTTTTGTGCATGGGAGAATTCAGAGGATGCTTTGGTTTTTGCTTATATTTTGTGACCTTTCCAAGGCCTTCGACGGTGTTCACAAAGAAACATTAAACAGGAAGCTACAGTACTATGGTGTCAAGAACACAGCGCTTAAACTAGTTATTTCATATTTAAGTAATAGATTGCAGAAAGTTATTATCAATGTTAAAAGTTCTTCCGGGTGACCCGTACAGATGGGTGTCCCTCAGGGCCCATTTCCTAATTTTAGTGTATATTAATGACTTACCTTCCCTTGTAGGGGATAATCATGATATAGTATTATTTGCCGATGATGCTTCCTTGATTTTTAAACCTAAACGTCAATCATTTAAATATGAAAAAGTGAATAACGCTATATCGAAATTATTGCATTCGTTTAAAGTTAATAATCTACATTTAAACGACAATAAAACTAAATGTATTAAATTTGCAATAACAAATGTTAATTATCCGAGTACCAATGTGTTATTAAATGGGAAAGAACTGAGTCCGGTTGAATCCTTCGTTTTCCTTGGCATCACTCTCGACGCTAAGCTTCAGTGGGACTCCCATATATCTAAACTAGCAAGCAGACTAAGCTCTGCAGCGTATGCTGTAAAAAAGATTAGAGATCTCACTAGGGTCGAGACAGCTAGATTAGTTTATTTCAGTTATTTTCACGGCATAATATGCAACTAGGCATAACAAATATGGGATTTTGCTATGGGAGAATAAGGCTGATTTAGAAACTATTTTTTTTGCTAGCTATTTACAGCTATTTACAACCTTAAACCGAGAGAGTCTCTTCGAGAAAAAATTATAGAAATAAATATATTGTTACGAGCTTGAGGTTCGTGACAATAAAAACTGCCGATTGAATTACCAAAATTTACACTTTAATTTTCTTCACACCAATTAAAACTTAAAACACTAATAATTAATCACACGGACACTTTATTTCGCTCCGAAGCTTCGCTTGTCTCGCCAAATTCAATACTGCCCCGATCGCCTATTACAGAGCCTTTAAATACACCTTTTTCACCGAAACATCCAGAATATTCAAGTAAATACGCGCGCCAACCGACCAGGCGCCGAAAGTTCGAGTGTGAGGCTTCTAGAAAGCTTAGTTCTTCAAATCGATACTAGATGGCGCTGTTGGTTAAAAGATTAGTCATGTCATTTTCTGGAAAGCTCTCCTCGCTCTGTTACCGGACACTAGATTGCGCTAGTGCCAGACGTCAACTTAGGCGCGCAGAACATTCGGCACTTTAGCTTTAGGGACAACCATTTGCAAACGATAGCTGTCTCCTCGACCATTGTCACATTTACGGCACAGGACTCCATCCTGAATCAGCAAGCTGTCCCATTGGGCCCAATAGCTTCTAGTGGTCGAACTCATCGCTGAGACGTCGCTCCACTTAGGCTTGGTAGCACGGGCCTTCATCCATTCCAGAATCGGCTTGATGTCCGGATCTTCCTGCTGTGCATGTCGTAGGCTGTCCTTCCACTCGTTGCTGAGGTGGTCTGTCCTGAGCATCCTCACGGATACCACTTC